CATCATGAAGGAAGAGATGTGAGAGCACTCAGCTTCACGGACAAAGATTTGAGGTGGCCAGTGACACAGTGGAAGAGAATGACGGAATTAGGCAACTTTTTACGTGGCCGAGGGGTCCCCTCATTAATGGAGGAGCAGAAGGTCATTAAAACAAGAGAGCTAGTCTCTAAAACAGACATGGCTATGGCTTGATGCTAACATGTTTGTTAGCTGTCAGAATTCAGTCAGAATTCTGAGAAAAAAGTCAGAATTCTGAGATTAAAGTCAGAATTCTTAGATCAAAGTCAGAATTCTTAGATCAAAGTCGGAATTCTGAGATTAAAGTCACAATTCTGAGGAAAAGAAGTCGGAATTCTGAGATTAAAGTCATAATTCTGAGAAAAAAAGTCAGAATTCTGAGAAAAAAGTCAAAATTCTGAGAAATAAAGTCAGAATTCTGAGAAAAAAAGTCAGAATTCTGAGAAAAAAAGTCAAAATTCTGAGATTAAAGTCAGAATTCTGAGAAAAAAGTCGAAATTCTGAGAAAAAAGTAAGAAATCTGAGAAAAAGTCAGAATTTTGAGATTAAAGTCAGAATTCTGACCTTTTTTTCCCATACTATACTGAAATAAAATAAAAAAATCTTTTAAATTTTTTTTTTTCTTCAGTGGCCCTAATCCTCTTCCGTACATTAGCCTCTTAGCATGTTTTTAGGATTTTGTTTGCATGTTTTCATGTCTTTAGCTCTAAAAGAGTCATTTGGAGTTCTGTTTTTAGTCATAGTTTGGGTCTATTTTATTTAGTTTCAGTACATTGGTTCGGTTAAGTGGCGTTATTTGGTTTGTATGTGAATTGTTTCTCAGACCTACAGCAAAGACTAAAACCATCAAGAGAATGCCAAGAGTAGGAGAAGCAGGAATCAAAGAAAAAGGTGGCTACTGTGAAGAACCTACAATATAAGACATATTTTCAATTGATTCACTCTTTTTTTGTCAAATATATAATTCCACGTGTTATTTCATAGTTTAGATGCCTTCAGTGTTTCTCTTCAATTTTCACAGTCATGAAAATGAAGCACACTCTTTGAATGAGAAGTTATGTCCAATCTTTTGGTCTGTACTGTATATTCTTGCGTCAAGCTAAGGGCAGCGAGTGAAGGGTGTGTGGAGGTCACACGTTTTTTTACTTTATGTAGCCGTTCTTCAAAACTTTTTCATCTGTCTACAGGAAATATATTGAACCCGTCCCTCTGGTAGCCATTTTTGGTGTGGCAACGGGGGGCATAGAATTAAACGACAGCTCAAAGGAAGGCAATGGCATCTTCTTCGTTGTTGGCCAGGAGATTGATTCTATTTAACTGGGTAAAGGCAGCACCACCAACTCATAAACGATGGATACATTGGAAAAACCATTTAGAAATAAGTAAAACTTTCTTAAATTAGATGTATTTACCCTGAATTTGAGTAGGTTAATGAGGTAGTTTGCCAATAGAATGAGTATTTCTACGCCTAAAATAAGATAATTACATAATATGGCCTTGAAATAACACAATGCAATTGTGTTTTCTTATTTTAAATGTAAATTGTCTTGTTCCATTGGCAAAATGTCTCTTTTACCTCCTCAAACCAAGAACTAATGCACTTATTTTAAGAAACAATGACGTAGTAAGATTTAAATTTTTTTCCAGTGTAGAGGAGGTAATGGCACACCTAAAGCTGGAACATCTTCGATTTACGTCACAGGGTGCCATTAAGAAATATTTCAAGATTTGGCAATCTTTTATTTTTTATTTTGAATCCGAAGTTCCATAACCTGACTCTGCCAGATGGATTTGCTCCGCATATCCATCTGTCAACCTTCCGTT